AAACTTGATACTTGACATAAACCTCCTCTCAAAACATACATGAGATAAATCTTGTCTCAAAACAGACATGACATAAACCTTGCATAAATATTGTCTCAAAACATACATGACACCAACCATGTACTCAAAACAGAAATTACACATACTTCATACAATACATACATGACTAAAAGCTTTTCTTTGGATTGTTTCTTTTTGTTGGAGTGGTCCTCCTAGTTATAGGTCCTACTGCATTTTATGATGCATTAAGTCTGGTAGTTGGACCCTTTGTAACATATGAGTGAGTAGGCTTTCTAACAAGTAATTTCTTTGGCCTCCCTCCTTGTTGAGATGAATGAGTTGTTTGAGATGGTTGTGTTGCCCCCGTTGTAGCAGATGACTGAGCTGGTTTCCTAACAGGTAACTTATTTGACTTCCCTCCTTGTTTAGATGTCTGAGTTGTTTGAGATGCTTGTGCTGGTGGCTAAGATGCTTGTGTTGCACTGGCTTGAGTTGTTTGTGTTGGTGGCTGAGATCCTTGTGTTGCACTTGCTTGAGTTATTTGAGTTGGTGGCTGAGATGCTTGTGTGACACTTGCTTGAGTTGTTGAGTTGGTGGTTGAGTCCTCTTACAACTTTATTTATTGTGTCCAATTTGTCTACACCTAAGTACCATGTCATTTTCCATGATGTACCCCTTATTTCTTCTAGCATGGTCACTAATGGCTTTGCTCTTGACCCTACAATCACACTATTGAATGCCTCTGGCATGTAATTCAATACAAAATCACATTTTGAAGTTGTCCTGAAATAGGATTTGCTCCAAAGTCTAGGTGGAGTTTCCATCACGTGCTTATAAGCCTCTTCATGTAATTGTCTCATTCCTCTCACCTCCCTTTCCCATGCTTGTGGATAAGTAGCCTTGGCAGCCTTCCAAATGATCTCTTTCAACATTTTTCCAAGATACTTCTTCCTAAATTTTTTGTATAAGTGTCTTATGTAACACCCTTCTAACCCCAAAGAATAATTCGCAAAATAATAAGGATAATTCAACTTAATTCACCACTCAAGGGTGTCACACTTTATACAAAACATTTATAATAATTATCATGCTCCGTATCACGGGTTATAACATCTATAACATCATTTTCTTTTATGACCTTAACACATAAATTGAACTTTGCAGCGGAATCATAATTATAAAATAACTTTATCCATCTTCATAACACCAAAATAAATATGTTAACAATATAACATATCATCTGAATTGGAATTACAATAGTTCGACATCTTCAAAATCATCATAAAATATGTTAGTCAAGGAAACAAAACACTTGCATAGTTGGCATTCCCAACTCGGTGTTACATATCAGAGCAAGACATCTTCTAATTAACGAAAACTAATAAAGTAATCCAAAGCTATCTCCAATGCTTCTACAAGCTACTCTGGAGCATCTGCGCGTTACCCACGTGGAGGCAACATTCAAAAAAGGGGCGAGACATCATAATAATATAAAGGAAAGCATGTTAAACGGTGTGCATCATGTTAACATAACAGCAATTCAACTAAATATCTCACATTAATAAACCAACACTATTATCACCAATTATTCACCAACAAACAGGAAATCACATAATAACAAATCAATTAATCACACAACACCACATATTTAGAATTATAGCAACATATCTAATACAATGAGACTCACACCTGACTCAATGCTTATGCATGTGTGTCGCATCGTTGCAAAGTGGGCCCGGCAAAAACAGAAGAGTCGCCATCGTTCGTTATTTATCACAAAGAGAGGGAGAGGAAACAATCAGAGAAAACCTACAAAAAAGGGAAAAGATAGGTCATCGCAACCAAATCTTGGGTTCGGGAGTCGGTTACGCAAGGGGAAGGTATGAGTGTAACACCCCACTTTCCCGATTAAGATAAAGTACAATTAATTCAAATAAACATCAGAGTTCTCCACTAAAGTGGGATATCACATCACATAATTCAACATACTCTTCATTAGAAGGTTTTCAAAACAAAGCAGCGGAAAATATTCATTAGTTCATCAACCTCGGCCATCCGCCAATACATAAAAATATTCATTAATAAAACTCACCAACACATGATACGTCACAGGAAAGTAAAACAAGTTCAACTAAATTAAAAGAAAACGCCCAAGTTCCGTGCTACGTATCAGAGCATCCTAAGACTCGACTCGCACACCTCTATCCAAGCTAGCTAAGTACCTGGATTATCTGTACTTCCGAAGAAGTACAGACCACAACAACAACAAAGGGGTGAGAAAACATGATCAAAATTATCGGTAATATAGTACATGAAATAAAGGTAGTAATCATATAATTCATCACCCAACATTCAACAAACACGACCTATTGTCCAACATCAACACAACACACCATAATGCAATTATGCAACTCAATATCATGCAAGCGGTACCGACTCATTGGTTCATTCAATCGAACCCCGGATAGATCATATACACCCGTCCTTGGTGTCACGGTGAAATTTGGATACCAAACTATTGATTAGTTTGAATCTTTAATTCAATTTGCAACCGAACTTTAATTTGTCCAAAGGAAGGGATAAAGATCGAAATTCCCATAATGCAATGCAAATGCAAGGTTTAGAGAGTTTTAGGTTCGGGGGTTGATTAAACTTAGGGAAGGTACTAGCATCCTAAGTTTCTGTAGTACTCTACAGGAACCTCTTGTTTTATGTTTGTTTATTGCTATGGTTTACCTGCTTAATGGTTAAAGACCTAGGGGTTTATTTCTAAGTATACTCGATAAGATGTCGCATCTTATGTCTACATATCCTTATGGGAGTGGAATCAGAGTATTTTGTAGTTCCCCTAAAGGGTTCGAGGAGTTCTTTGACTGTGGTCAAAGTTCCTACGGGTTTAGGGTAGTTGATTGATTGATTTTAGGAGAAAAGGTGAGTTGTCATTTTAAGAGAGATTTAACCGCCATAAATTGTAGAAAAATAGTCTTTGCATCGTCTTAAGAGAAGGGCTCAAGTACTCGGATATAGATCGTCGAGGTACGCCTCTATCTTTCTTAAGGCAAAGTTCCTACGGTATTGATTGTATTGATGTGGGGTGGAGATTCTATCTCGCTTAAGATGATTTGGCATCTTTCTCTATTGTTTGAATATTGTATGTTGAGTTGATTGTTTATTTCTATGTTGTAAAGATAAAGACAAAGGTTCTCCTATAGGGGTAGGATCTGTCTTAAAAGATCGACTTGAATGAGATCAATGATCATAAGGGAGTATGATGCAAATGAGATGCACTACACACAATTGTTGAATCATGTGTAGGTTTTTCCTTTGGACGGAATGCGGTGCGGTAAAGTAAATTGCAATAATGTAAATTGCTTGTAAAATAAATTGCGGAAAGCGGATAAATAAGTAAAACATACACATACGCATGAAAGCGTTGAAGTGTGTGAAAGTGTGAATCGTGAATACTCGAGTGGAGGCGGAAGCGAAACCGTAGGCATGCGTGATTGATTAAATTTTAGGCGAGTTGAATTGATTTTATAGAGAGGAGTTGAATTGATTTTAAGAAAAGTTGGATTAATTTAAATGAGAAAATATTCTATTTTGATGAGATTTGGTTTTAAGCGAGCGTTGAATAATTCTCGAGAGATTGATTTTAAGAAAAATTATAACTAGTTTTATTTATTTATTATTATAGCCATATATTAAAATAAAAAAGGTTTTAGTAATTATAAAAGAGAGTAGTTATTACCAGATAAAAAAAATTAAGAAATCCGTTATTATCTTTTAGTTGCAAAATATTTAGAATAATGAGTTTTGAATAATTATGTTATTTAATAAAATAGAGAAAAGACTTAGTATAAGTTTCTTTATTAGTTATTAGTTTTCATATTTATAGAAGAGTCTAATTACAGTTAATTACTTAGTTAATAAAAAAGTCAAATAAAAGGGTTAGATGGTTTATTAAATAGAAATTATTATTAAATTATTTACTAGATTAAAATGTCATTAATGTTATTTTAAAGACAGGTTGATTAAGGTTAAATCAAATAAATGAATATTAGTTATATTTTAAAAAAACGGTTGATTTAAAAGGGATTAGTGGTCCATTAATTAAATTAGGGTCATTTAGTTATTAATTAGAAGGTTAATTAGAGGTTTAAAAGGGGGGAGGATGATTAGGCGTGCGCGGGTGCACAAGGCTACGGTGGGCAGGAGACGTGAGGGTCGTTGGATAGGATCTATCGGAGATCAGCGATTTGTGTGTGAGGTGCATCATAGTGTGTGTGGTGTGCCGTGTGTGTGATGATACAATACAAAAATCACAAAAATTGAAAACCCTAATTCTCGAACCCCAAATTCCTCCCCCTTTCGCCGTTCTTCTTCTTCCGCTTCTATGCCCTTCCGCCTCCTTCCTTTTCGTCGCGATTCTCTCCTCTCTCGATCTCACTCTTTCTGCTTTCTTTCCTCTACTTCCTTCGTTCTCTTCATCTCCGATTCTCCAACTCCGTTCTTCCCACGGTTCCCTTTTGCCTCCACTTCAAAGTTCTGGGAAAAAACAAAATAAAAAGGCATCAACATTGTAAATCGACATTAGTAATCCTTACCAACAACGACTTTCTCTCTTGTAGGGTCATCGATGGGTGGTTGATGGTGCTCGCGATGTCATTTGAAGTGGTTTCGCGGTGATTGATGAGGGTGGTTCGCGATGGCGTTTTGAGATGAGGTTTCGCGGATGGAAACGGTTTCCGGCGCGATGGCAACGCGTTGGAACTCCAAGACGAAAGATAAGTTCTCTGATTTTCTTTACGATTTAGCAATTAGGGTTTGGGGTTTTTTGTGTTGAACCGTTTGTGAGTTTTTGTGAATGGGTGAATTTATGTATGTTTGAAGTTGGGGGTTTTGTGAGTTCGTTCTCCCTCTCCCTGATATGTGTTGTTTTGTCTCAATTTATAGGCACACGCGGATTCGAACGATAATTGGGAAGAAGACAAAGATTTATTATGCTTTCCGTCTTCATTCCAAATGTCTGCTCCTTTAAGCAATGTGGTAAATGGCTTTCCTTTCTTATAGAAACATGTCCCTACTTGCTTTAGAATGTATTAAAACTTGTCTGAGATTTCCAATTAAGGTTGAACTTTATTGTTGATTGCAGGATTAATGCGGTTGTGCCTTGCTCATTATTGGAAACTTTCTGTCGTATTGTTTGATCAAAAGGTTGAACCTTATCAACCTCTGGACATGGTGTCAAAGTTAAGCGGTCAAAGGAGAAGGAACCTGAAGGTTTGTTCAATGTCAAGTTCTGTTGGTGATAGTCAATTAGTAGGCTCTGTGCAGAAGGAGCTCTTGGTTTTCTGTAGTGCTAGGAGACACTTCATTCTTAATTTGTTAATGTTGGTGTTGAGCAGTGGGCTATGGTTTCTGCAGGTTGAATTTGCAGGTTTTAAATGGGAAATGAGAAGCTAATGAAACGACATGGCTGAAGTTGGAGGTTTAGCGAAAAAAAACTTCTTATCTGGTAATGCCAAGCTGTCCAGTGAATCGAAAGTTTGCACGAGGGTCTTCGAGTCTTTAGGTGGGTGTGAATTTCTGGCAGCATATGTTGGTATACTCTTTCAAGCTAATAAATTTTAGTGTGGTTTCTTGTTGTTCAGTCACCAATGTCATCCCCATCAGGTACATGTTCTAACTTCGGATCATCTAGCATATGTAAGGACGTAGCAAAAGTACTTCCAAGTTTACTTATGATGGCATCGTCCACAACATGTTTTCAACCTCTGCTTGCTTACTTATTATTTCAAAACTCAAAGAATCCAAATCCACTTCTACACCAGCCTCCTCCTTATTGTCTATTTGCACTTCTGACCAAAACATGTTGTCTTGTAAGAGATGCTTGCTTTATATTAACGTTTGTAGTTATTCCTACTGCAGGAACAGGGTAGGTCCTTGGCATCGAAGCTTGCGAATCCCACTTATAAATTGTTGAGGAAGAAAACCGCTGAGCAGGTGCACTTGGAAGCTGTTGTTAATAGAATGCCTTTGGATTTGGAAAGACGGTTGTGGGAAGTAGCAATGATGGCTTGAAGGTTTTTGTGGGAAGGTTGCATTGCTGCTTGTTTTCCTCTGGTATTGATTATTCAAGGTTGGGAAGAGGTATCTTCTTTTGTTACTGTACTTAAAACTCTTCTTTGACTTTGTTCGGTACAAGAAAAAAAACAGGAGAAGCATGGCCTATGCAAATCGTTGATTGGTTTGCAAAAGGATTTCACTACCCTCCTTGTGTATGCTCTGAATGTGAGTTTTTTGTGCGTGTTGTTCTGGATTCTTGTGTTGTAAACAGGTTGTAATGTCGGCGTTGCATAAACTGGCGGCAGGGTGTTTGATTCCCCTTGTATCTATCTGAAGTGACGAAACTGTCTTCCCACGTGATCCCTTTGTGATTCATTTTGCTGTGAATGCTTAGGTGAGAATAGCCTGAAAATTCCTTCATGTTATGAGCTCTGTTGTGATTTTATCATGTTTTTCTACCCCTTCTCTTTCAATGTGTGTATCATGCGGTGATGTTGTTGTTTGTGTTTGCAGATGATGCCGGCGGTTGATGTTCTGCTGCTGCTTGCAGATGCGTGAGTTTTGGTCTGCAAATGAAGTGAAAGGGCATAGTGATATTGCAGGTTGTTCCAAGCAGTTGGCACAAAAGTCAGGATTAGATGGACTATAGGTGGAACAGATTTGACATTGGTTTGGTGGTTTAGATTCTTGTTCCTTGGCTTGTAAACTGATAATCCTTAGGTTGGTTACTCGGAATATGCTTGCAAATGGTCCCGTTATTCACTATTAGTGATCACTTGTAGGAAACAGTTACTACAATTTAGGCTTATGCAATTTGCTATCTGAATGCTTGGCTGCTCATGTCATTGTGATCATAGAGAAGAAAAAAAACGTTCCTCATCGCCACCTTTATTGTTTTGCAGTGATACTCTGTCTGCACGCCTCTGAGGTGTAGAGCAGCCTAGCCATATCACAGATGTAGTGGTGCCGAATGCGTACGCGTGACGAATCCTTCTGTGGCATTTGGATGTCTCCTGCATTAAAAAGGTAATGACCTGTGCTGTTATAATGTTTGGTTTCAATTTAGAAAGGGAACAAAAACCAGTCTCATGGCTTTTCTGCTTGGCTGCAGGGGTATCATATGTTGCGCTTTGCCGTGAGGAGTTCGAGTGTCAGCCTTTGCTAGTTCAAGACATAAGAAAACCTCCCTTTATGGTACTGCAGGCCTTTGTTAACTCTGATATGTTGTATGCAGGTTTAGTGCTACCGCAGTTTATTGAGAGAACTCCTGCATTGTTGCCGGCGGCGGACGTAATGGACTTAGGAGGAAGGTTAGGATTGCCTGCCTGCAAACCGTCACAAACCGCTTCAAACTCCAGCAATGGTTCTGTCGCCTTTTTTACCCATCCAAACCTTCTTCAAATGGCGAAGTAATGAAGGCTCGGAAGTGTGATGGTGGAGAATAACAAAAGTAATGCCTTCAAGCTTGTTCTTAGCAAAAGTAAACAACAAATTGAAGCAGCAGCCTGTAGGATAGTTTGATACGAACTGTGTAATTGTTGTAATGTCATGGCGTGATGTACAATTGCCTTAAGTTGAATGACTTCCTAAAAAAAACAATGAGGCCAAGTTGAATGTACATTGTAAATTTCTATTTAATCCAATTGCAACACTGTTTCCTTGGTACGGGTATTCCTTGTAGATTAAAAAAATGTATCCTTTGATTGATAGACTTGGTGAGTTTGAACTCTAAACTCCCCGACAATCTTATAATAATGATAATGAGGTGGTCGTGACATTCCCAAAATACGAAACCGAGTTGTATCTATGGCTGCATGTAGCTAATAGGCAGGATCTTGGAATAAAAGGACGCCACTTGCTAATCTCTTGTAACCTTAGTCGTGACAGTGATTTTGGAATAATCCACCTATTGCTTTGGACTGTGAACCTTGAATTTGATTGAAATATAAGCCTTGGCATTCGCTGTGGTATCTTAAAATCTAGTTATTCGAACTTAAACCCTCTTGTCTTGAATGGTGAGCCGAATTTATAAAATATCGTAGCGCCTCGTAGCCTACTTTCCATAATAGAAATCAATCCTCGTAATCATGAAAGGAAGTCTTGCAGTTGGTTTTGTAAATCCATGAGTTGAATCCATTCTTAGTATGCGAACTCCGTCTTAAAGCCTGACTGTGAGGATCTATACCTGCTATTGCTACATCTGCACACACTTGTTAGTTGTAAAGAACAAAAAATTTAAAACAAAGTCAAATAACAAAAGAAGGGAAAGGCGCAACAAAAGGTGGGATCTTAAGGTCAAAAATTAGGGTGCAACACTTGGCCATGATCTATTCCCACCATTCTCCGCAATGGAGTACAGATGAATCACATACACTCCTCTTGAGTAATGATTCGTCCCACCAAACACCATGATATGCATAACACCAAATGCACAACAAATGAACTCAAGCACACAAGGTGCACACGATCCCCTGATTACATCACCATACATCATACACACGTGTTATTCATCAATTAAATATTTTAATTAAAGTCACACGATCCCCCTGATCCCATCACAATACCCCATACATATCTCACACCTTAATCTACTTATTTCAATTAACTTCGATCACTACATAATTTCGCCTTTTAATGTCAAGTATACACTATTCCCCACTAATCACCATATCTATATTGGTCACCACTCAAGGGATACTACAAAACGACAGAACCATCCTCACCATAGAAAATCACAATTTGTTGTCATGCTCGCTGGCTCATTCGCTTAGCGAAGCCCTAGCGAACGCTCGCTAGCTGCTCGCCTAGCGAACCCCCTAGCGAAGGCAAAGAGTAGCTACTAGACATGTTCGCTGATGCGTGTTTTTCGCAAGTGTACGAATCACGTCAAAGTAATATAAAAGATTATCGAATCCACAGAGACCAAGTGTCAATCTATCGTACCTGTTGTTATGGTGTTTATCTAAGGCAACTATTTTTAAGGGTTTTAGTAAGGGTGCAATGGTAAATAAAATTATAATTTTAAATAATAAATAAAAGACAGGCTCGAATGTAATTCACGTAATCAATGATAATCCAGTACTTGTTAATGGAACTACTTATGGGCAATGTTTTCTCCTTTGAAAAGAACTAATTTAACAGGAACTGTCGCTTTCGCGTATTCAGAACCGAGTTGTACTCTCTAATCAACCCCTCCTATTGTCACGGATAAGAAGGTGCGTACTGCGTTAGAGTAGTAAACCTATTTTTAAGAAATATAGTTTCTTAACAAAGTTGAAAAGTATTTTAACCTGGACTTCTTAGCAAAAAGAGGTTCTTATGAACCAGACTCTAAACCTCATAACGCGTCCGAAAATCGTTTTAAAATCTCTTTTCTTTTTAATCTAAAAACTCCTAATGAACTATACAAAGCGCTTTTGGCTGTTTTTGAAATAGTTAAAAACAATTACTTGAATTGAAAGATAAAATAGCCCTTAGGTGTTTCCACGAACAATTATACTGATTACTGGTTTAATTACGATCCTTACATTCTAACCTTTATGGGATTAGTTAGACATGATAAAGTAAATATTCTTTTTATAGTTTTTCATATAAGTAATTTAAAGCGAGTGCGGGAAGTAAACAAAGTAAATGTGCGAGTGCGGGAAGTAAACAACGTAAATGTGCGAGTGCGGGAAGTAAACAACGTAAATGTGCGAGTGCGGGAATTAAACAACGTAAATGTGCGAGTGCGGGAAATAAACAAAGTAAAGTGCGAGAAAATAAATAAAAGTAAAGCAATGCGGAAGAATAAAATACTAACTGGAATTAAAATGGCGGCAGGATTAACTTCCTCCAGAGTGCTCCAAAACTCGAACCACAGACAGATTACAGACTCGATCACTCGATTGCAGAGGCACCCCGATGTGGAATGGCAACTGCTTTATAACTGATATATGCCTAGAGAATTCTAATTCTGGATGAAGAAAAACGAAAATCTAAGGTCCTATTTATAGGAGAAACTGGAAGCGCGAAATGACCGGGACGCCCCTCCACTAAAAAGTGGAGGTTGAGGATTTTTGCCTTGTGGCGCCCGCCACAGGCCTATGGCGCCCGCCACGGTCCCTACAGGGGATGATGTAGTGGGGATCGTGGGTCTTGGAGGTTGAGGAGTGGTCTTGAGACGTGGCCACGTCATGGCTAACCCTATGGCGCCCGCCACAGTGGGTGCCGTAAGTGCAAAATGCTGAATTTCTAGGTTTTCGTCCGTTTTCACTCCTTTTTCGCTCCTTTTCCCGATTCAAGCTCCGATTATTATAAAAACCTGAAAACATAATAAAACAAAGTAATAACAAAGCAAAACAACAATAAAAGCTAAGAATGCATGCGAAATCGGAGTCAGAAATACGGTGAATTTT